TTAAGTTAGTTTAAACTTAAAAGCAGTTACCTGCTGGTGATGTAGAGAACAAGTTGTCTTAATTTTACCAATTGAAACTGTTGCTATTATGGATGGCTTCACACTTTGAGGCCGTGCTAAAACCCCTCTCTTTGATGACATTTATAGCAACTCTGCAAAACTCTGGGACCACTGCAACAGTGGCTCTGCTCCGGGATGGAATTGAGCTGGTTGTGGCAAGTGTGGGAGACAGTCGTGCTCTGCTGTGCCGGAAGGGAAAGGCCATGAAACTCACCATTGACCATACTCCAGAGAGAAAGGAGGAGAAGGAAAGGTACTGCTGTCTGATGATGAGGCTTCCCAGAGCGTGGCCTCAGTCAGGATGGGCTTGTGTTCTGCTGCTGGGTTGGGCCTGGAAGAAAGCAGAGTTGGGTATAGAGCTCTGAAACCACTCTGAGCTGGCAGTAAGTGGCACAGCTCCAGTTAGTGCACTGGGTCCTGTTTAGAGCACCAGGGGTGTGGAAAGCCCTCTGTGAGCATAAACTGTCTCAGCAGTAAGAGCAGCATCACTGAGATCCAGAACAGAGCCATTGCCTCAGCATTCAGACTTGTCCAAGACTGCCAAGTTAGAACCAAAACTGGAAGAAATGCATTATGATTCCAGGTCAGGATTCAGCCCAGCAAGACATATCCCTTCTGTGGAGCCCTTCAGGAAGCTAAAGCCAGCCCTCAGCTTCCCAGCTTAGGCTCTCCCTACATCTTCCCCCACTGCAGCTAGTGACAGAAATAGAGGATAGAGGTGGTGTGAARCAGTAACTCATTCACTCTTTCTTTTGTGCCTCTGCACAGGATTAAGAAGTGTGGTGGCTTCGTATCCTGGAACAGTTTGGGACAGCCTCATGTGAATGGTAGACTTGCAATGACACGGAGCATAGGAGATTTGGATCTTAAAAACAGCGGTGTGATAGCCCAGCCAGAAACAAAAAGGGTTCAGGTAAAAGCAGGGCTGGTTAACAGGGACAGCAACACTCAGATTAAGGGGGTTTGTAGGTATTTGATGCAGTGGTGGAACCCAGATGAGATGAGCCCAGGTGAAGCCTGATGACCATACACTGTTTTTTATGAAGTCACCAGAGAGCAACTCTAATTAAAGCTGTTTCAGATTAGCACTAACAGCTGAATTCAACCAGATCTACTTCTAAATTCCACTTCCCACAGTAAAATATATTGTGAAGAAAAAAAGATAACACATGATATACATTACAGATGTTAGTCTGGATGCTGTGGTCAAGTGAGTAATTTTGAGGTTAATGCTGGTATAAAATCATCACTGAGACCTGGGTGGGATATGGATGGGCTGACACCAAAAAAGCAGAATATGTAGAAATTTGCACAGTTGAGAGRAAGAGGGGGAGGAGGAAAGGACAGCTGCATGTATCTTACCATAGCTCTGTAGTCATCCAGAAAACAAATTAGGCATCCAGAAGGTATTCAGCCTCCACTTTGGCAGGAARCTCTCCTGTCAATTTGCATTGTTTGTTACTTTTACCCAATGCACCTCTCAGGGCCCCAAGAACTTATATTATTTTGGTTCTAATAAAGTGCCACCCACTAAGGGTTTAGGGAGATGACTGCAGTGCTGTCATGTTTCAGGAAATCTTCAGTTTCAGGAAAAATTTTGCAGCACAGCATGCAGCACCCCCAGAAAAAAAAAAAAAAAAGTGTTTTTGCAAGAGTGTAAAAACACTCTTGAGTGTAAAACTCACCCWCGGTGATGCATCCTGTGGGCCTTTGTTGCAGCTGCACCACGCAGATGACAGCTTCCTGGCCCTGACCACAGATGGGATCAACTTCATAGTGAACAGTCAGGAGATCTGCGACTTCATCAGCCAGTGCCACGACCCTGCTGAGGCTGCTCACGTGGTCACTGAGCAGGTAATGCCAGAGCTTCTCTGGGCACCAAATGCTCCTTCTTGGGTTGGGTTAGCTTAAAACAAGCCCTAATTTTTTTAATTTACACAATACCACACATTCAAGTGAATTGAACTAGGCCTGCTGGCTAGCCTTGGCCTTACCCTGAGTCTCACCACATCCTTGCCAGCCATCAGATGAATTAACTTGCTTAGCTCACAGTCCACTGAACTGCATGGGACTGTAACTGCAGCTTATTCCTTTGCCAAATATGTCATCAACATAGATGGAAATGGCCAGTTTCTGCCCATGGGTCTGGATGGTGGCACATCCTAAAAGCTCTGGGGCATACCAGAATGGAGCATCAGCGCTGGGAAGGGGCAAGGAAGTCAYGCCCTGAGGACATGCTGTCCCCGGTGAAGCCCGACCTTTGTTTCCTTTTCCAAGCCAGACGCYGATGCTGGCACTGACACTTTGTTTCTTCCCTCAGGCAGTGCAGTTTGGCACTGAGGACAACAGCACAGTTGTCATAGTGCCATTTGGAGCTTGGGGCAAGTACAAGAACGGGGAGATGACCTTCTCCTTCAGCCGCAGTTTCGCTTCCAGCGGGAGGTGGGCATGAAGACAATGCCACAGCAATCCTTTCCTGCCGTCACCTGGACACAGCGTGCTACAGGAGAACACCTCCATCTGTTCCTAGGCTGACTCGGTGTCTTGTCCATCTCTTGTGCTCCCAGTGTTAGAAGGTGCCACTGSTCCCTTGGTGCGTAACGCCCGTTGTTGCTTACGGCTGACCGTGTCTTGCTGCCCGCGTTATTCCCAGCGGCACCGGGGCAGCTCCCTGGGTTTGTAGCCCCAGCAGCTCCGCACATCACTTTGTTCACACTGACGAGGTTTTGGGCTTTCACCTGAGGYTGGAGGGGTTGCACAGTCATTTCATGCCTACTTGTATTCCCCAGGACCCTCAGTTCCCTGGCAGCTGCGAGCCTCTGAGCCACATGCTGGCTTCCCTGTAYGATGAAACACAGGGAACAAACGCACAATGTTCTTAGGCAGACATAAAGAGTGCTGCTGCTGTGCTGCAGCCACCTGAAACTCCTGTTCTCCAGGAGAAGTGGGTGAAAAAGAAGTTTCAGAGTGTTTAGGTTCCGATGGCAGTGGCATTTGGTGTAGCTGTACAAGTTCCCAAGACAGTGCTGCTTTGCAGGGCTTTATGCTCTCACCGCCACCATCYGTGATCCTCTTGCTCCAAGGAGACAGACCAGGCTGGAGCCAYGTGCTGTTGGACAGATGGGAACCTCTCTCCATTGGGTCCAAAGCCTGTACAGTCTCTGTGGACAATGCAGCAGCCCCTTGCACTGTCTTCTCTTTGCTGTGTCAGTGCCTGACAGGAGCACAGAGGAGGGAAAAAGACGCACAGTTTTGATATCCAGAGACTCTCATCAACTTGAATTTCTTTTTTTTTTTTTTTTTAATAAAGAAAATAAGCTAATTTCAATGAGTTTACTCTTCAAGATCTGATGCATAAGACAGTTTATTGCTCATACATACATGAGGATTTTCCTGCCCTCTGCTGAAGGTATCTGATCTCACRTGTCTCTTCATGGTACACAAGGAGATGTAAAATGCCCCAAGCAAGCTAGAGAAAGGAGAGAGCATTATTATAATATAAGGTATTTTTTGTAAGTTTGGGATATTTTTTCTAGTAGGTGTCAGATGTTCAGACACCAGAAGGAAGTTTTGTACTTAAAGGAAGTATTTCCACTTCCCTTCTTTTGGGGAGTCTGTGTCCAGTGAGGCATGGGAGGACCAGAGCTCTGATCCAGCTCATATCACTGCTGTGACACAGACTGCAGGTGATGTGTTGACACAGGCAAAGATCTGTCCCAGCGTGCCTCATTCAGACCTCCTCCTTCCTCTGTTCCACATCAGGTGTGGCAGTGAAATACAGGTGGAGAAGAACTGGTCTTCTCCCAGGCTTGCCACATTTTTTTTTTCCTTCTATGGATGCTTCCAACAGCACAATCATAAAAACAAAACAAAATGAAAGAGAAGTTGCCTGATATTAAATCATGCTGAAAAAAAAATAATCTGAGGTGCCTGGCCTGATTCTCATTTTCCAGTGTGAAATACGTATCTTCATTGCTTCTATCCCTTTCCTTTTAGCCCAGGGTTACCCCTTAGGCAGTCATTCCATGTTTTTTTCCTTGCYTCTGRTGGAAGGCCAGCAGCACCCAGCAGMKCACTGAGAGCATTWATTGCTGGGTTAGCATTAAGTTCARAGTGCACTTGTGTGGTTTTGTCCCATCCCTTGCTGTGTTACATGGTGTATAATGTRTATATTTGGGTTGTAACTGCAGAGGGGTGTGTAAATCTGTTTTACTGGGTGCTGGCACCCAGACCTTGGCACTGAGCACACCACTGGTTTAAAATTGTAATTCYTTCCCTCTCCTTAGATTTTTCCCCAGGGTTGAGGTTTGGTGTTCACCTGAGGTCAGGATGGTTGCTCTTGGGGGCTGTTATTTCTCYTGACAGAATGGTTAACTTCTCAGAGGAGAGATCCATCCATAACTTCTTTGAAATTTTACCAARGAAGGGATAAGACAGAGCTCTGTGAAACAGAGGATGAGTAGATTAAGGTGTATTTGTAGATGCTACTACTGCTATTACAATCACAGAAAYACTTGGATTGGAAAGGACTCCTGGGCATCATCTCAGCTCCAAGCCTTTCTATTCAGCAGGCTCTCCTCAGCAGCTCTGTTSCCTCAGCTCATGTGGATGGGCTTCCAGCTCACCATGATCCCACTGCCTCTTGTTSTTCCTGGGCACACAGGGTGTTCCATGTGCCTGGGGCTCCCTCCCCTCTCACTGGGACTGATTTCCTAGGGCACCCCTGGTGGCCAAGGTGCTGTTCCCTAGGGATGAAGAGGTGGAGAGATTTGCTGCAAAGTTTTGGACCCAAGCAGAGACATTCTCTCCACAGTTGGTGTATCCATACCCAGGAACACACTGCTGCCCAGCGCTTCGAGTCCAATGCTGAAGCCGTTCAAATCACTGTTCTCCACTTGGCCTGCGTGCACAGGACATCCTCTGGATCTTTGAACACCTCATCTAATCCCTGTAGGTGGCTTCCAGCATCATTAATTCTCAGGTACTGGRTGCCTTTATCAGCAGGATTTCACTTTTCAGGGGAGTTCACAAGACCATCTTCACACTTGAGTCTTCTCCAGAGACTGCGAAGTGCTGCCTCTTTTCCAATTCCTCTCTCAGTTCCTTGTTTCCTAGCAAGGGATCCCAGCTGTTGRGCTTYCTTACCTTCCAATTGCTGGCTATTGGCTCCATAACCCCAGCCCTGGATCAGCCAGGCAGCAATCCCCTCACCTGGCTGGTGGCTGTAATCTTCCCATGTCTCAAAGCTCTGAGGAGGTCAGGGACAGGGCAATTTCCACATYGAGTCTGAATTCACTCTCCTTCCTCCAGTTTATTTACCAGAGAACTGACATGTTGATTAGGATTTTCTTCCTTCTTCCTACTAATTGATGATGTGGAGCCATTGTTTCCCTTGTCTGGTTTCTTTCTTGCTCCTGGGGCAATTTCTGCAGTTGCTGCAGTTGTTGGAGTGCTGCCTCAAGCCCGGTGCTCTCAGAGCACTGAAATGTGCTTTGGCAGCACAGGCCAAGCCCCAGGACAGGGAGAAAGCTGCAGGTTTTCACTGGGCTAAGGCAAGGCACTCCTCTGTCAGGTGACACTTCAGTTTGCTGSGATTGTCACCTGCTCAGGTGTAAAGTCCCAGGCTTTACCTGTCCTAGGAACCTGCCCAAATCCTTCCCCACACCCTGCCAGYCTGGGAGCAGCTGCCTCAGGGTGCATCTCACTATTGCCTCACCCAAAAATCTTCTTTTATGCCGTGATGACATCAGATTCCAACAACCCCATTACYTGCCAACAGCGTTAATCAGTGGCATTAACAGCTCATGGAAATATCAGCAAGGACCTGCACAATCATCCACATCAATCCAGAGTGGGAGATGTATTCCCTCATCCTCTTGTGGAGACAAGACAGCTCCCACAGCACAGCACAGCAAGCCCATCCAAAGCCCAGAGCCACTGTCAGCACTAACACGTTCCCAACTTCAGCCGTAGAGAGGGATAAGCAGGGCAGCCTGCAAACTCCCCAAATCCCACAGGAGGTGTCCCTGCTGTAGCAATAACACTGGATACAACTGCCCTTGTCTCGTGACCCGTGGTGGGTGCCAAAAAAGACTCCGCAAGATGGACCTGGACTGGACATTGGGTGCCCACCAAGCTGCTCTATCAGTCCCTTCCTCAGCAGGATGGGGGTGAGGGGAGAAAACAAAATGAAAAAACCCATCAAAATCTAGTCAACATAAAGGAAATTAATAAAGGGTGTTACCCACCCCTTTTCAGGTGACAATATGCAGCCCAGCACTGTGAGATGCTGTGGCAAAATGAGCTCCATATCAGCCAGACCAATACACAAAACCTTCAGGTTTTCTATCTGGCCACTAAGCCCRCTGCTGCCYGTAGCAGCTCAGCRAGCARCCARTTCCACTGTAYCCCCCCAGGGACTGGCAAAATCCTCCTGCACAGCAGAGCTCCTTCAGCTTGAGGACAAARAGCAGATTGTCCCAACAGTGGCAGCTGCCTGTCAGAGAGGTTTATTATTCCATGACAGTGAAGGATCTCACACTTACAAATCCAWCAAAATGGAATGTTTGCTCTCCAGCTCACTGTCTTTCCCATGCATCTGAGGTTTCAGATAATATAAATTAATTAATAAAAAGATTTTTTTTTCATTTGTTTATTACAGACTGAATTAAGGGTGACCTGCTGAGCAAACTAAACAATGTTCACTTTTTTCTACCTTTTAGGGGGTGGATTCTGAAATCCATTTGATTTGGTAAGAATATTTTCTTGCCTGAACACACCCCCAGATCAGTGGAATCTCTTACTGTACAGGCACTGCAGGAGGGTGGGCTGTGGGTGCAAAAAGGCAAAAAATGCTKTCCAGCTAAGTATTCATTTTTACTGTAAGGATGTGGAAGGCACGAGGGGCCTCATGYTGCTGGAGAGGTGTTGAGACTGCAGATGGATTTCCAACTTCAGTCTCTCCACCGCCTGGAGAGGGGGGAAGTTTCATGCTTTATAGAGGAAGCTCACAAAAAAAAAAATCATTTGCAGCCTGAATTTGGGAGAGCTGGTCTCTCTGGATGATGAACACAGCACAAGAGACTGAAATGGRGGAAGATCCAGTCATTCATTTATTGCAGGGCCTTCATTGCAATCAGTCCTTTTGGGTTGAAATGCTCAGGGCTGGAGAATAATCCTGGAGCAGCTGAGAATGGGGGTGTGGAGAGAAATCAGCAGTATCACTGCTTTTTAWATATTTGGAAATTGAGAGGAGCTTAGACTCACCACAGGATTTCTGCCAAATTCCAYGGGATCAGCGTTCCATGAGCCACATTTTCTGCCTCAGCAGGTGGACGTGCTGTGGTGAGACTCTGGGATTTTTAGCTAAGGGAGAAGCACAAAACAACAGCTACCAGTGAAACTGGTTTAATRATTATTTTTCTTAAACACCTTCAGTTGGGCAGTGCCAGGTCATTGCTCACTCACCCAAGAAGCCGAATGCACAGTAGAGCAACATTCCAGGTATTCCTTGGTTCCCAAACTGCTGTTCTGAATGCAGAGATATCCATCTGGTGCCCTCTTGACCGGGATACCGAGTGCTTGGGCAGTGGTGCCTGTCATAACTTTCTTACAGACTTAAGTGCAATTGTATCCATTTGTTACATACTTTGCCTTAGGGCTGCGTGTAATTCCTGTGGTTTGATGATTATCTTCGGTGTAATCAGGGTCTGAATTTCATCTACTACAAAATTTTATAGATGTGTCCACYTTGCCTTTTATTTTTTCTTTAAAAATGTTTTTTCATCTTCATCACTCAAAGCTACAGTAGAGCAGCTAAGTCTGTACTGGAATGCTTACAAGACCTTTCAATAAAGAAYTGGCTTCTAGGAGCTGTGTCACTACAAATGGATTTTTCTTCTTCCCTGCATTGCCAGCTAACAGGAAAGTTTCAGCTTCTCATGCTGTGTCACAAATGTCCCGTTAGCCCCAGGCCTCAGTCCTTGCCATTAAAAGCTTCTGATAACCAMGGCTTTCCCCACATTCTCCCAGTGATAACCAGTGCAAAGCACCTCTGTCTCTGGGCTTTGCTGCACCGGGGTGACATGTTCTAACTTGCTGTTTCTGGCTGCCTGGGTGGCTGTCATGGTGAGCAATGTCATCCTGTGACACAGTGCAAAAAAACAAATTGCATCTCTACAGGAAAATATGGTTTTGCTTCTGCATGAATTCAAGGCTGTTCTCTTACACTTAGAGAAATTAAAAGAAAAAATAAGAGCCAATAGTTTTCACTCACCTGAAGTGACTTCATCAGAAGTAACCCTGAGATCACTGCTATTTTTAGTTAATAAAGTTTTTCACAGTTGGGCTCGGCCTATTTTACTCTGTCTCCCTTTAAAGCAGCCTTGACTTCAGTGAGGTCTTAGCAGCTTCTTACAGCTGAGACCCAGCACTGTTTTTTAGGAACAGAATCCTTTTTTTCTTATCCTTTGTTGCCAATCCACAAYTGAGTTTGGAGCCGGTCAGCTCTTGGGTAAATGCACATCCCACGGTGGTATTGTAATCACTGCCTGGATGAGTGAATCCCAATAGCTTGGGTGCTGTGTTGGGAAAGGGCTGGACAGCTCTGCCCTTCCACAGGAGCTGGGAAATGGCTCCCAGGTCACYCTGCAGCTGGAGCACTTGTCCTGTAAGGAGCATCCATCCCTGAGCTGCTGCTCTGTGCACATCGGGAGGAGTGGCCGAGCACCAGCAGCACCACCGAGGATCCCTCCCAGCTTCAGGACAGACTGGGCAGAGCAGCCAAGCGTYAAGGAGAGCAATCCTTGCTGCTCACAGAAGCCATCCTGTGGGAAGGGCTGCAATATCTGCCCAGAGCTCGTGTCAGCACCACCCCGCACAGATCACCTGCACAGGGGTCCTGACTCCCAGCACTTTTCATCACAGCTTTGGGCAAGAGCCTGGCTACACATCCCCCTCCTGCCCAGCTCCTGCACCCGGGGCAGTGGTGCCCCTGAGCAGGCAGGATTGCATTTAGGTTCAACAGTGGCCATGTTCAAGCTCTGTTCCCATTTCTTACAAATTGC